GCAGCCTCTATTTTTTTTTTACCACCATCCTCACCAAATTCTGGTGAAGTCATATTTCAGGGTGGTGGAAGTGAGACATTAATGGCATTTTAGCCTATTTCTTTAATTATGGCCTAAATTACCATACACTCCTTCTTTAGTCTTATAGGATCAGCTGGTCTGCATGAAAGATCAGAAATGTTGTTTAGCTGAATGTTACTGTGTCTCTGCAAGATGCTAATGATGCCTCCATCCTAATACATTAATTAATATGGCTCAAGGATTGAGTGAACATGGGACAGAAAGGTTTGCATAGTAATTAAAACTGTTAGACATTCGGGAGAGAGAGAGAAAATGCATTATTTGTAAATGGCTAACTGGGCAGGGAGATAAGCTGACCTTGAGTCAGATAATGATTCCTTTTACACTCTTATGCAGGTATAAAATTGTATGTGTCCTTGACCAGAGATGTAAGGCTGAAAGCTTAACTTTTATTCCCACCCCACCTTTGAGTGGTCTTTCATGTAGATAATTCCAACTTGCCATTATAGGGACTAAGCATCTACCATCGGTTTATACCTTTTTGTGCCAATCGGTTATTTTTTCCATTAAAAATGATATGTCTCCTATATTCTTATAAATATGCTTATTTTTTTCTAAAATGGAAAGGAATATTAGAATAAAAATAATTTTATTGTATGCATTTTAATGTTAAAAGTTATAATTCTGATAAAAGTAAATAATTTCAAATATACCACAGAAATCATACAAATAAAGGCAAAGCACACAGCAATAAAAAACCTTAATGGGAGAAAAGGACCAATACCAACAATCATATCAATAAATATAAACTATTTGTTTACACTATAAAGAGTTTATATAAAAAAAACTCTAAAATATTTTGTTTAAAGTTAATGAGACATACTTGAAATGTAAGCAACAGACAAAAACTTAAAAGCTAATATCAAGAAAAGAAAAAAAGCAAATAAAAAAGCCATTACATAATTTTAACAATACATGTTCCAAAAATTTCTAAGAAAAATGAGTTAAACAATGAAATGTAATCTATCAGAGACTTCAATCCTTACAAAATCTGTGTGGGATGGGATATAAATAGAGTCAAATAAAATTACAATAAATTATTTAAAAGAGAGATCCTGTTCTTCAGGTAATCCTTATTCTTTTCCACCGTTCCTTTTGAGAATTTGATTACATATATAGGATCTGTCTCCAGATACAATTTGCCAAAAATTTCAGGTATTCAAGAACTTCCTGAAGCTACATTACCATCCCTTAGTACACATTAGGATAATAATGGCTAACATTTGTAAGTTAGCGCATTCCCAAGTGCGAGGTATTATATTAAATACTTTATATGCATTTTAATTTAATTCTTATAACATCTTTATAAGGTAGGTACTACTTTTACCCTCAAACAGCCTCTGAGATCAATACTGTCATTATTTCCATTTTACAGATCAGGAGAGTGACGCTTAGATGTACTGTTACTTGTGCAATGTCATACAGCCAATGAGCAGGAGAGATGGTATTTATTTAGATCATTATCTATCTGATCCCAGGTTTCCAGCTCTTAATCACTATGATATACTGTCTCTCACTAAGGTCTTTTCATATTAATTAAAAAATCAATATACCTGAAAAAGAGATATAAACATATCCCAAAGTATATCCAATCCCATTTTTCATTTATATCACCCTCATTGCAAAAGAGAATTTGAAGTAGTTACAGAGATACACACAGAATAAAAAGTAAACATAGGAATGTGCGGGGGTGGGGGTAAGAAAGTGAGATGAAACTAGAGGTAGACCCAGAAACAAAAATGAGTATCATAAGGTCATCTACGATTGATATAAAGGTGAGTCACATATTTGTTTCTGAACAACATAGTAGCCAGGGAAAAGAAGAATTTAATCAATAATGTTTTACCTAGTACTGAATTGGAGGAAAAGATCTTTTCTAGGGAACACTGATTGTATGGACAATATTCTTAACAACATAATACAGTAGAGACTTTAAGATAAATGTTTCTTACAAGAATTTCATACATATTTCTTGACGTAGGCCAAAGCATAATGTCACAGTATATGTTGGGAAAGACAATTCTATCCAGGGTACAATGCAGTCTCAGAATATAACTCTATAATGAACTGGATTGGGCAGAGGAGAAGATATGGAATAGACAGGGAAATGGACAGACTGTACATACTTCAGGTAATTTTTCCAGCAATTAAGCCTTTGAATTTAACAGTTGATAGTAAATTTTTTCTAACAAGAACCTGGAGTACAGAAATTCTACATTGTTTAGTAGGCCACATTCGTATGCATGGACAATCAAGCAGAGGGTAAAACTGATAATTTCTTATGGAGGTTAGGGGGCCTGAAGAGGACAGATATCTGAATTTTAGACTTTCCACCAAAGGGAGTGTAAAGATAGTATCTATCTATATGTAGAGATAATGTGTAATTCGCACTGATGTGTAAATATGTAGTATTTGAGACATGGCTGGAATCCAAACGGAAAAATTTTCTTTGTTTTTGTTAAATAAGAATGTTGCTATAATATAGCGATATTATGGAAAGTTGCCAAGGCAGTACTTGAGAAAACATATTGCTCTTAATACCTTTATTAGTTTACAAAATAATAAATTAAGCATCTATATAAGAACACAGATATGGAACAAAGGAACAAAAATTAAAAAATGAAAGAGCAGAAATAAACTATTCAAATTGACAATAACTAATATTTAAAACGCAAGTTAGAGTTGCTACTTTGAAAAAGAACCAAATCACAGCACTGGTCTAGTTGCTAAAAGAATAAAATTAAATTTAAAAGAATTCAGATAGAGAGTTATTTCTAAATTTTATTCTGGAGATGGAGGAGAAGGGACCAAATTGAGGTCATAAAAAGGGGTAACATTAGAGTTATGCCTTTAAAGTTGGGTAAGATAAGGACAAACAGGAATAGAGCACTGGGAGGGAAAAACATTCCTGGAAGATGCAACGGCCTAAGGATATACAGACAGGGAAGCATACTGTGTGCCATTTAGAAATAAGGTAGGTAAGACTGGTTGAGACAAATCATGGAGGATCTCATTGTCACCAAATATGTAGAAGAAGGAAGGAAGAATAAAGAGAAAAACAGACTGAAGTCTGAACTTTAAGGAAACTCTCTGAGAGACAGCCAGAAACAAGGTCAGTTTGAAAGTGGAGGATATAAATGCTCAACAGACATTTGTTGATGGAATAAAAGAAATGGCCATGACTATATGTTGTTATAGAAGTCAAAACACAAAAATGAGCCTAGTGATTTTACAAAGAGAATGTGAAAGCAAGATGACGTACTATTTGAATAAAGAAGTTTATACCCTAATTAGGAAGACCAAGAACTACAGAACATAGAATAAAAATAATCGAATATCTCATATTATATTTACCTTTATAGGTGTGTATTTGAACATGTTTCTCTGTAGTGTTCCTAGAGAATTCTGAATGCATGTACCTTTTAAATTTAATATCTTTCATATGATAGCGAGGGAAAGGTATTTGAAATAATTCTGGAGGAGTTATCAGATGAACTTTCCTCCTGAGACTGGCAACTTAACTCTATTCAGAGAATTTTCTATATCAGAGTGAGTAAAACCAAACTTAGAAAGTTGCTAGGTATTCAGAAAAGAAGCTCTTTAAATTCAACCATATCTGTGTATGCTTTATCACTAGACAACAAGAGGTATGGATTCTATGGCGATGTTATCACACTAGGAAAAGATGCTGTTGCTACACCAAAAGGTTATGCACCACAACAACAGTGAGTGTATTATTCTTAACACTGAAACTGAAGCCAGAGTTAGCTAAAATATTTAACTTTTAGGAAGTAAAAGTTTAGAAGTTGAATAAAATAATTTTCCGGGTGAGATTAATGGGTTGAAAGTGAGTCTGTCTGTCTATCTGTCTCTCTCTCTCTCTTCTATTTCTATTTTTATTTCTATATTTATATTTCTACTGATATATGTTTAAAAAATAAAGGTAACATCTCCACGTAAACTTAAAGGACAAGTTAATTACCATGCATTTAATTAACTTTAGTAGGACTATATTAAGGATAATAACAATATAGAAGTCTAAAAATATTTCAGAAGACTGTTCTGTTTAAGACACTATCTTGTTTATCTTCAGTGAATAGGCAATGATGCCACATTAAAGCAAGCTTGTATGTATGCATAAGCCCAACGAGCCCAACACCACTCTGGAAGCATAGATGAGGAACTCAGCCTGCGATGGGCTATGAGCCAATATCCATACATCTATGCCCCACATCCAATGCCACACATACACTGGGACACTGATTCATCACTCAACCACATTGTCAATCAACAACAGTAGAAACATTCATGGTTTTCTGTTAATAGGTTAACACTGGTTTTTGTTTACTGACCCGAAGTATAAAGAAAGGGAGAAGCAAGGCATTTATAAATTTAGTTACACGACTAGCTGTTTCAAATGTCATAGGGACTTCATATTATGGGGTGAAGTAACATTTTCTAAACCTTTATACAAATAAACACCCCTTTACCAATATGACACCTTAACGTTGCTAACCCAAATATGAATAGACATGATGCGGTAAATTTGTTTAATGGCAATACTGTCACCCTTACTGATGAAATCTTCAGTTGTTAGTATGGCTTTGTATATTAGACTATTTGTGATACATCTGTATAAATTCTGGTTTCTATCATTTAATTAGCCTCCAGGGTAGAGGATATAAGTCATAGAAAATACAATATGCTCATGATGAGCTTCTTCTTTAAAAAAAACATTGTTTAGTAAGGGCTCAGTTTTGAATACCTTTTAATTTCTTGTGATCATTCTTTCATGCTCAAAAATGTACCTGACACTCAGAATGCTTTCTGAAGAATTATAAAATTTCCATTAAAATATGGTTCATAGGATGAAGATTTGAAGTTAGATTTTCAAGTATAAATTTAAGAAATATACTTACCTTTGATTCGAGGTAGACATTTGCTGATGACATTTTTGTAATTTTGCATATGTAACTAACTAAAGAGATGGCACAAAGAATAAACAGGCTATCGTTAATTAATGCTCGAACAAACACAGTCCATTTCAACTGATTTTCTGGGACATCTCCGTGGACTAGCATTGCACAAGTCAAGTTCACCACTAAAAAGAGAAGACTTGCCAATATAAAGCCCAAATGCAACAGAATTCTGAAAGAAAAAAATGAGTTTATTAGATGTTTATAAAACTAATGAGAAATTAAACTTAATACTGAATTAGTGTGTACTTTAAGTACAATAATTCCTTCAGCTTAAACTGCTTGTAATTTAATACAAATTTAATAACTACTCAGAGTTACTTGGGATATTTTTGCCATTATGAAATTAGTATCTAAGCCATTTAAAAATGGCATGAGATTCTAAAGCACTAATTTAAAAATAATCTCATGTGGACTTGAATTCAGTTGTCTCTACCAGGAAGAATAATATTGGACTATTTTAACATTAATTCAAGTAATCCTGAATTTTTCATTTTCGTAACTGCTGAGCACATTTTCATTGACCTTTCCATTCTAAGAATTATCAGGTTTTTATAATTTGCTTGGAAAATTAATATACAGTATATAAATTTAAATTGATCACTAATATTAACTTTAAGAGGTAAGGGAAATGTGTTTTAAACAATGTTCAGTTTTATGAACATCTGATTATCTATAGCAAACATTTCTTTCAAACAAAACTAAAGAGGAACACAGGGACAATATACGTAGAGTTTCACACACTCATCAGTACCTCATCTTCTTATAAAGTTGCATATTTACTATGCGTACAGAACTACTCCCAAAGTAAAATGCTTAACCACTTCCCCCTAAAAAAAATTGGACCACTTCTAATTTTTAAACTCTTCAGGTAAGGTGTGGCTGTCTGTATCAAGTAGCTGGAACAGCTTCCTGTATGAAAGTAATCCTAGTTCAAATACATTTATACCCCAAATTAACATGATCTAGAAATTTATTTGCCATTCTAATATCTTCCATTTTGGTCACTTTCAATAGTGGGAATCATAAAATGTTGTTTGCCTTTGGGAGTAATTTACACAAGGAAAAATTGAAGGTAATGTGTAATCTGTAACAAGCAATCTTTATTAAGTATACATGCAAAGTACAAAGATTTTAGTTTGAGAAGTTTAGATCTTAATATTCTCTCAGATTAAACAATAAAAATAATAATTATATACTTTGAAACCCAAAATGGACCTTGAAATTATCCATGCATCCAGGGGATTATAGTAGTTTAGGAAACAAAGTACCAAGAGGTTAGATGAGTTGCATAGCTGGCAAGTTTGTGGGAGAATTGGTCTGAAACCCAAGGCTTCTGATTCCCAGGTTTAGCAATCTCATTTCTGAGGTGAATCAGTACTGAAATATTACTTATTTCATGGAACTGTACTATATATTCTTACTCTAAACAGCATAATCTATCTTGAGTATTTGTGGACCCTATGAAACAGTCCTAAAACATCTGACATCTGAAGTAGGCCAGTGACAGAGCAGCAAAAAAAGGTGTTTGGCAGCAATACTGCTGAAAGGGAATGACCAGATTACTCAATTCACTTCCTATGAACTAATCTAACTACTTGATCTTCTATAAAACTGCTAAGGCATCCTCAACTACAAAGCCCTTCTACCTTGGGAACTGTACTGTGAAAAAAAATATAGATCTTGCTACTCATGAAACTTACTTGTGTTTGTCAAGTTCAGTTGCACATCTGACTTTACATATAACCTATAAAGAGAGTACAGAAAGAAAGTTTTGAAAACACATGTAATATAGTATTCTTAAATTTGTTTTGATTTTGTGTTTCAAAGTGATACAACAAATAATAATAGATAGCAAGTAAAACTCAAAAGTTAACAGTTGAACTACGCTGGAGAAAACATAGGCAGATTTCCAAAGGTTTAATACAATAAATTAATAACTTTCTATGGTATAATCTTAAATTTCTACATTTTTAAACAGAATTAATTCAGTTTAAACATTTATTGAACTTATTTTTTACATTGGAGTATAGTTGATTAACAATGTTGTGTTAGTTTCAGGTGTACAGCAAAGTGATTCAGTTACACATTTACATGTATCTATTCTTTTTCAAATTCTTTTCCCATTTAGATAATTACAGAATATCAATCAGAGTTCCCTGTGCTATACAGTAGGTCCTTGTTGGTTATCCATTTTAAATATAGCAGTGTGTACATGTCAATCCCAAACTCCCTAACTATCACTCCCTGCTACCCTTCCCCTTGGTAACCATAAGTTCTTTCTCTAAGTCTGTGAGTCTGTTTCTGTTTTGCAAATAAGCCAGACAATGGGAAGGATGGCTTGCCACCTATTCTAAACTTCATTATATCACTCATGTTTTGTCTTAAAATGGAACGACTTACTTTTAAATATGAATATGGGTGAGTGTTCTCCCAATATTATTTACCCCTAAGATGAAATAAAATAGTAAAAAGAAAGAAGGGAACAAAAAATGAACACAAAGATGAGATCATATTTAGGGAACTTACTTTCTTCATAAAGCCTTGCAAAAGGCAGGTTCTCAAATATTTGATGAATAAAGTTAATCAAGTAGGTTAAGTAGAGTTTGAAATAAACATGGTAACTTCTGAAAACATACTGTGGAAGGTCTCAATTCCTAACTGGTGAATATGGACTTTATTATTTAGATAATGGGAAGATATGGAGGGTTTTTATGTAAGCACTCCAAATCACAGAATTTCATTAATCTGGCATCAACGTAAGGCAACTGCAGAGAAACTTCAGACTAGAAGTAGAAAGACTAATTACAAGACTACTGAAATAGAGTATGAACTTTGAGCGGGGGGTGGGGGGGCCTGGAAAGAAAGAGGCAAGTACAGAACATTATAAAGGAAAACAGTGTAAGTACTCAATAACTTACTGATTCCATTCAAACAGTTACTGAGCACACACTATGAAGGGTACCATGGATTCATACATACAGTAACTGGTTCTGCCCTCAAGGAGCTCAGTATATGAAAGAAAGAGATAAACCAACTATTTTGAAACATTATGTCATCAATGCAAAAGATGCTACCACAACAGCTAAGAAGGGGGATAGACTAATTCAGTGCAGGAAATGGTGAGAGGTAAGGGGAAAGAGGAGAGACTGTGTAAAGGGTCAGGTAGGCAGGACTTAGAGAAGTCACATTTGAGTCAAGTTATGAAGGATAAATGAGTGTTAGACAGGTAAAGGCTCAGGCAGAGATAGCAGCCTGTGCGTCTACTCATATCTATTGTATTTTGGTTAACAAGCTAGATGTGATAGATGATTTTAAAATACTACCCTCTTAGTCTCAAATTGTACCACTTAAATCATCCTCAGATACATCTGTTTTCTTTGTCTTTACTACTATATAGCCTTTTAATTGGTCTCTCTGCTTCCATTCTTAACTCCATCTGTATCTTTAGAAGATAACTATTCATTTTGCTATTTTTCCTTTATTCTCACCTCTCTACATGTTTTATTTTTACCTAAAAGTTGTACTAAAATATATATGACATAAAACTACAATTTAACCAGTTTTTAAGTGTACAGTTTCACTGCACTGAGTACACTCACATTGTTGTGCAACCATCACCACCACCCATCTCCAAAACTTTTTCATCCTCCCAAATTGAAACTCTGTATCCATCTAACAATAACTCCTTATTCCTCTCCCCTCCAGCCTTTGACAACCACCATTCTAATTTCTGTCTCTATGAATTTGGCTACTCTAGGTACCTCATATAAGGGAAATTATACAATATTTGTCCTTTTGTGACTGGCTTTCTTCACTCAGCATAATGTCTTCAAGGTTCATCCATGACATCACACATGTAGATGTGTCAGAATTTCCTTCCTTTTAAGGCTGATTAATATTCCATTTTATGTATATATCAAATTTTGTTTAAACATTCATCCACTGATGTTCACCTGAGCAGCTTCTACCTTTTGGATACTGTGAATAATGCTGCTATAAACATGTCCTATACGTGAACATGTTCTATATATGATTTAAAAAATCATTTGAGAGTAAGTTGCATATGTGATGCCCCTTTACCTCTAAATATTTCAATGTATACTTCCTTAAAAAAGAAATTCTCTTATATAACCAGTATGATTAAAAAAATCATAAAATTGATACTGATAAAATACTATTATCTAATCTGCAGACCTTACTCAGATTTTGCCATTTGGTCCCCAAAATGCCATTTATGGGAGGGAAAAATCCAAGATTATACATTACACATAGATTTCATGTATACTTAATTCCATAATTGTCATTTTCCCCCTTTGTCTTTCATGATATTCAGTTTTAAAGAGTTCAGACCAGTGATTTTGTAGAATGCTTCTCACTGGGTTTATCAGATATTTCCTCATGATTAGATTCAGAATTTGCGTTTTGGTAGGAATACCACAGAAATGATGGTGCTGCATTCTTCTCAGTGCATTATATCATGAGGTTCATGATGTTGATTTGTCCCATTACTGTGAGGTTAACTTTGATCATTGGTTAAGATGGTATCTACCAGGTTTCTCCATGGTTAAGTTACTGTTTTTCCCACTGTAATGAGTATCATGTGGAGAGGTATTCAGAGACTAGTAAATATCTTTTATTTGTCAAACTTCCATACACTAGTTTTAGCATCTATCAACCATTCTTGCCTGAATAAATTATTACTATGATGGAACACCTTCTTTTAAAAAAGTAAATCTGATCATACTACTCCAGGAAAAAGCCCATACTCCTTTGATACAGAAAAGGTCTTTTATCACTTAGTTCCACCTTCCCATCATTATATCCTTTTATCCCCATCTTCAATCTTATGGTCTGCTCATTCTGAATTATTTACAACTTTCAAATAAGGGGTTTAATTTCACATCTCTGTGCCTCTGTACACGCTTTTACTTTACCTGAAATATGATTTCATGGTCATAGAGCAAATTCCAACTCATCCTTCAATACCTTACTCTTTGTCATTTTTTATGTTGTCACCTTAAGTGCCTTAGGAAGAGGGAAACCACTCTGTATCCCTGCATTACAAATCATACTTTATGGCATTTGTTTACATTTTTATTCCCCTCTTAAGAGAGACGTAACTTACTCATATGTATAGCCCCAGTGCCCAGCATGATACCTGGTTCACAGTAGGTTCAGAAAATGTTTGAATAAATGAGCAGTGAATTTAGGTCAAAGCAAGTACTTTGGCATGTTGTTGTGGTGTGGGTATGGGAAATACAGCACAAGCAGAAACTGAAGGGGGAAGCAGTCGTCCAATCACGGAGACCCTGTATAAAAATGTCAAAGGATTAGACCTTAACTCCCACAAACTCTGTAATATGATTTTATGCTCAAGTGATTTCTTAGGTGACAGTGTAGACAATGGATTAGAATGGCATAAAGAATTCCAGTTAAAAGACTGTTGCATTTGAGTGAGTCCATGCAATCTCATTCTCAGGTTTTGAATCTAAAGAACTGATAGAATGAAAGTCTCACTGACAACAATTTTAAAAAGTCAGGTCATAGAATTGATTCTTAGTTTTAAAATTTATTAGATATAGGCAGAAATAGAGATGGCAGATAAGTTTTGGAATATAAGAAGTAAATCACAATCACCTACAGAGGTGACAGCTGCAACTCAAAGTAGAATATATTTGAGGGAGCAAATGTAGAATGAGAAATCAACCTGTGATATGTTCACATTTATTAGTCAAAATGAAAAAGCCCAAAAAGTGAAGAAAAGAAAGATGACCAAAGGACACAGACTTAAGAATCAGACTAGTCACAGCAGTGGAGTACTTTAGAGGTGAAAGGAAGAAAGTTCAGCCATTGTTAAATTCGGCAAAAAGTCAAGAATAATTAAGAAACAACCATTTGATTGAGGTATCTTGAAGAGAATAGTTTTCAGCGGAATGACAGGAAAAAATGCAAGGAATTAAGATGACAAAGGCAGTGAGCACAGATTATATGAGATATATTTGAAGATAGGAGATAAGAAAAGGAAAATTTGTATTGGAAATCATGTATTGGAATATTGCAGGTTTCTACATGCCAGGTTTTCTACTATGCAAGGGGTTTGCACAGCAAACATCCTTGAAAATTAGAGATAGTGTCTACCTTAGGGTCAGAGGGAAGATCTGTCTCCTGATTGGTATAATATAGAGAACATTTCCCTCCCTGGAGATATTCCAGGGGAGTAAAGTCTTCCTCTCTCTCCTTGGTGAAGATTTGCTTACATTCCAGAGTAAAGATAAGGTCTGTCTGTCTTCCTCATTTTGGGGTTTCTCTCCTGTAACACACCTTGCTGCATACACAGGTAACATCTGGCTCTCATTGTGTTGCCTTACAGGAATTGGGCTTGGGCGCTTGATTCAAAATATTGCTTTGGTTGCTTTTTGTTTTTTTGCCATGAGTAATAAATGGTCTTTTTCTCTGACCCATGCGTCTTCTGTTTTCTGTTGGTATATGTATTATAAAACTGTGGCAGGCTAACCTGTCAGCTTTCAAGTAGGGTAAAATCTCAGATTTTCACAGTTTCTGATTTAATAATCTGCTGATCAAAAATGAACTAGAGGGGGTGAAATGGTAAATGGAGGAGAGTGGGAGTGAGGAAAGGAGAGTTCAATTGCTAAAGAAGGCTCTAGGTGAGGCAGGTCAGCCCTGAAAAGGAAAACACATACTATTGAGTCAAGAGGGTAGAAAAGACAGTTGAAGAAAAATTTG